ATACTCCTATGCCTAACCCAGGTCCCAAGTCACACAACATCTGACTACGTGAAAATCATAGGTGGCAGGCTGTAATGATTAGGAACCTCATGGAGGAATGGTTACCAAATCTGCCCAAACCAGCTAAAGAACACCAAGAATTAGAGCTATTGGGTTCCTCCCTGGCACCTTACTGTATTCACTTTACTTTCAACTCATTATCTGACACTAGAGCCTTTAACAATATATTACAATTTCAAGAAGAATTCACTGCCAAGAAATGGTGTGATATTCTAAGTCATGTTATAGCAGACAAACCTCTCTGCTCAAATCCAAAAGATCTCCCTATGGGTTTGTTCCTAATTTGTGGGAATCAGGCATGGGCAGTGTAATATATAAATGTATAATTTGGGTTTTATTTGTATGTGTATATAAGTAAATAAAAACTGGTTACGTATATCGAGCAAGCAAGGAGTTGCAGCAGCGACAGCCTGGAGCCAGAGGAAGAGCAAAGATTTATAAAAGAACAGTGTCACCAGAGAAATCAAGGCCCACCCAGGCAAGATCGGTGTACTAACAACACAGTGATTCGCACCTGATATCAGACTGATCTGATTTTCCCAGACCATGCATTTCAATACTCAGTTCCCGTAACTCCCCTTCTCCCTCGGAACTTCGTTGACAAACCAAACAGAAAATATCTCCAGATCAGGCATCTCAAAAACTCAGTTCCCGTAAAGCCACTCAAACCATTTCCTCCCTTCTCGGAAATCTAGTTAACAAACTTACAGTAAATATGAATATGCAACAGACTTGGAGAGAAAGAACTGTGCAGCCTCAGGCTATAGAAACCATATAAAAACCCACTCCTACGGTGGAATTGATGGTGAACTTGGGGGAGTCAGGGCGGTAGAGACCGATTCAAAGTTCACCCAGCGTCAACCCCGGGCTCAATGCTTTAGCCTTAACTGTGATTGTGGTTGTTCCTTTTTTGACAAATTTTCATAAATTTGTTATTAATAAATTTGGCTGTATTTAATTTATAACAGGCAGAAATCCCATCTCAACTTTTAGGAGGGCCATATACCATAGGGCGGCTGTCCCTGTTAGCACCCAACCAAACCTTAACTGGCAAATGGGTTCATAAAAACAATTTGACCAATAGAGTTCATAAAAGAAGCACTGACAATTTGGACCCAGTTTGTGATTCCGAAACTTTTCATTGGGCCAAATCAAAAAGAATTGCTGCGTCCATATTTCTTCCATGGATTGCAGCTGCCAAAGCTCTAGGTGAGTTAGGACACCTAGAGTGCTGAGTGGTCAAACAGGCAAACTTAACATCCGCTGCCATCAACCCCCTCCTAGAGGACGAGGAGATCACCAAGCAGGCAACGATCCAGAACTGAGCAGCCATACACTTCCTCCTGCTGCTGCATGGACATGAATATCAGGAATCAGAAGGATTTTGTTGCATAAACCTAACCTCAAAAGCTCCCAACTTCCATGTAGCCCTCTGAGAGATGAAGAGTCTGACTGGACAAGTGAAGCAAGAATCTGAGGACTGGTTTAGTGAATTGTTCAAAGGTTGGGGACTCATGGGGTGGTGGACTTCAGTAGTTATACCCTTCTTTTAACTTTATATCATTAAAAAGGTGAAGATGTTGTGTAGCACTAAGATGTTTACACTAAGTGGTTTTTCCTTGCGCACCCCTCCTGGCTTTGTGATGTTGGTTCCTTCCCCTTGCCCTTCCCCTTCAGTTTCACCTCACTGACTGTAGCATGCTTTCCCCCTCCCCCTTTCCCCCAGTTTAAAAGTCCCTGTGATCTCTCCATCAGTCGCTTTTTTCCTTGGAGTATGTTCTGTGAATAAACTGGGGCTGTGGTCCTGGAAGAAAAAGCCTCCTTTGTCTTTTACTTTGGTCTATTGTCTAATCCTCCTACCCCCCGGTACACAAGCAGCTAGCTGGTTGACCCCCGGGGCTGGGAGTAGAGGATTATGGCAGCTGAGAGATAAGAGTATCATAGAGAAGACTCAGATCTGACACCACAGATTTTTTGGACAGAACATATCGGGTGTGACAGACCAAAACTGCCTTGCAGTCATAACAAAATGCATAACTTCCATAATAACAAAGCAATTAAAGGTCTGCTAGATACAGGTGCAGATGTCACGGTTATTTCTCATCTGTTTTGGCCAAGAGACTGGAAGTTAGTAATACCCCTGGATACTCTCACAGGTATAAGGGGTGCTACCTTATGCCTGCAAAGTGAAGCTGTGATTACAGTCAAAGGACCTGAAGATAAAACAGCAGTTATTAATTCTTTTGTTGTAAAGAAGCCTATCACAGTTTGGGGAAGGGACTTGTTATCTCAGTGGGGAGCAAGACTGGAAGTGGATTTTTAGTGGGGGCCATGAAGGCACTCACCACTCTAAAAGTTATCTGGAAAACAAATGATCCTGTTTGGGTGGATCAATGACCCCTAGAAGAAAAGAAATTGAGTACCCTCAGAAAACTAGTAAAGGAACAGCTGCAAGAAAGTCACATCACGGAAACAACTAGTCCCTGGAATTCTCCAGTGCTTGTCATGAACAAGAGTGTTTAATACATGGAGTAAAGATGGAGGAAAAAGGGTGTGGTTCTTAGCTCTCCTTCTTCCTTCTTCTCCATGATTCTGCAGTTTTTAGGAGCACAAAGTGTGATTGGTTAAAAGTTAGTTGCAGTTTTAGTTACATAAATAGATATAGAAAACTTATTTGTTAATATATAAAAACAACACACATGTCTATTGTTAATTGGGTAGAAGTGGATATAAAGATGAAACAGCCACTTGGTTGAAGGCCATATTGTGCCTTCAGAGCCAAGGTGAGCCAGGTTATGGTGAGTTGAACTTGTGCAGAAAGTCTGGGAAGGCCTGCCAAGTCTTTTGATAGCATCCTAATAAACACGAGAAACAAAGATCCTAACAAGTTTTGGAGTTTTCTTCCTGACCTGGAGAACTGAGATAAACAGAACTCCCTCTGAAGGAGTATCCCAAAGGAGCTCGGCTCAGGAGAGATGGAGAAATCTGTTTCAAGAAGTGCAGCATCAAGCAGCGAAAAAGTTTCAGGTGGTGCCCCATGTGAGTGTCAGAGAGAGCTCAAAAGTCTCGATCAATGCCTGTTTGTGATAGTAAACGATTTTAAAGTCATAGAAAATTCAGGGAGTTAGAAAGGAAGTTAGGCTTGGCAAGCCCTGGGAAAAGTGTTAAAAGGAGGCCCTGGGAAATGTTAGGCCTTGTGCATGCTAAGATAATGTCAAACTGCACCTGTGTAGTCAGTATATGATAAATGATATAATTGTTAGATGTGATTAGATATAATTATTGTTTGAAGAATCATGAGAAAGTATGTTAGGGGTTTGGGGGTGTTGGAGTCAGAGGCACAGAGAGTGTGCCCTTATCTCTAATACCTGGCTCTGACATCCAAGAAAACACTGAAACGACATTAACTTCAAATGATTTCGTTCCCACAGATATTAAAGATCTTTTCAGGTGTTTGCTTACACCCTCTGAATTTGATTTATGAGAGAACACATGGAAACGGTTTCTAAAAAACCTACTGGTAGAATTATTAAAAACCAATCACCTAAATGTAGATTTGTTAAAAAATGCTATTACTTTTGATCATTTATGCGGTGAAGGAGTATGGGAAAAACCTGATGACCAAACAATGGCTTTACCACAAGCCGTGCTAGATAAAATCACTGCAGCTGCAGAGAAAGCTTTTAACCAGATACCAACAGCTGAGACTAAAGGTAGTTATATTAATGTAAAACAGATGCCTTCAGAAGGATTTCTGCAATTCTTAGACCGAGAGACAAGAGAGAGAACAAGTCTCCTGTCAGGTAGAAGACCCCGTTGTACAGGCAGAATTAATCAAAGAAATTGCTCAGAGAAATGCTAACGAGTCTTGCTGTAGGGTCATTCTGGGCTTGCCAGTTGATCCCCCTCTGACACTCGCACAGATGGCAGAAGCCTGTGCGAGGAAAGCAGAGATGTTTTCACAGGAAAAGAGACCTCCTTGGACCAACCAAAGACCTGTTGCTGCGGTTTCATCTGAAACAAGGAGTGAACAGATGATGTCTAACCAGCAACAGCGAGTTTGTTTTCACTGCAGAAAACCAGGACATTTTGCTAAAAGCTATCCTTTAAAACAACGGAAAAACACTGATACCAGCTTGCCAAAAAACTTGGGTCTCAGCGCTTGCCCGCCCTGCGCGCAGACATAAATGAAGCGGGGACCAATCTCTGTCCTTTAACAAAATGGGGGAAACGGGGAGGGGACTTGCGGGAGAACATGGAAGTCGTAATGGGGATGAGTTTTATTTTAAAGCTTGGAAACCCATTGGTCGATTTCAATTATCAACCACTAAAGCATTTAATTTCAGATCTAAGCACTGGATAGTCATTGTGGTAGACTTGCCTGAGAATACACCTGATTTGATGGCATGGCTCAAGGACCTGGACGGTAATTACTTTGTTATTGGGGACACCATACACACACCATGGGAAATTGAAATAGCACCTATGACTATAAAAGGAAACGTTACAGAACTCATACTTCTAGCTCGTTGTCTTCACCCACCGTTTTTTCTCCCCAAGGGACAGATAATTGCCCAGGCAATCCCAGCTCCAATAGGGATCCCAGTAAGCGATAAAACACCTGATGTTTACTGGGCTGAAGTGATTGGGGAAGACAAACCTATTATGGGTTGTAACCTAACCTGTGGATCAGAAAGCTGACATGTGACAGGGCTGCTGGACACAGGAGCAGATGTAAAAATCATTCCAGACAGGATCTGGCCATCAAATTGGGAGTTACAACCTGTAGCAGGGAAAATCCAGGGTATAGGGGGAATGTCCTTAGCAAAAATTTCAAAACACATAGTGCAAATTGAGGGTCCGGACAGTCAAATTGCTAGCATCCGTCCTTTTGTCTCTGATTACAAATGTCCCCTATGGGGAAGAGACACCATGTGCCAATGGGGTGTCAAGTTACTGATCCCCAAGACCCCCCAGGATTTTTAGAGGGGGCCGCTGCAGAGCGCCTTACCCACAAGTTAAAATGGCTCACCCAAAAACCTCTCTGGATACCGCAGTGGCCCCTTAGTAGAGAGAAGCTGAAGGCGCTAAATGAATTAGTAGAAGAGCAATTAATAAATTGAAGAGTCATATTGAAGAGACTAGCAGCCCTTGGAATTCCCCAGTGTTTGTGATAAAAAAGCCAGGCAAAGACAAGTGGGGGCTCCTTTATGACCTTAAAGAAATAAGCAATATCATTGAGGATATGGGGTCACTCCAACCTGGCATGCCCTCGCCAACTATGCTTCCACAAAATTGGCAATTAGCAGTCCTGGACATCAAAGATTGTTTCTTCCACATCCCCCTACACCCTGAAGACGCCCTGAGATTTGCCTTCTCAGTTCCCTCTATAAACAGGGAAGCTCCTATGAAGCGTTATCACTGGAAAGTTTTGCCCCAAGGTCTTAAATGCAGTCCTTTCATATGCCAGCACTTTGTGGCAGCATTGTTGTCTCCAGTGCGGGCCCAATGCAAAGATGCTATCATCCTCCACTACATAGATGATATCCTGGTGTGTGGACCCAATAACACTGTATTGGAAGACACGTTAAAATTTTAACCTCTGCTGGATTTCAATTACAGGAGGACAAAGTTCAGAGGATGCAATCGTGGAAATACCTGGGCCTGGAAATTACAGCATGGACAATTGCTCCACAGAAATTGCAAATCAATTGTAACCCTAAAACTCTAGCGGATCTCCATGCACTGTGTGGTTCACTGAATTGGGTCAGACCCTGGTTAGGTCTCACCAATCAAGACCTTGGTCCCCTTCTCAATTTGTTACAGGGGGAGAGAGAGTTAACCTCTCCCAGGGACCTGACCCCAGAGGCAAAAGATGCACTTAAAAAGATAGAGAAAGCATTAGCTGAGAGACAGGCAAATCGCTATAATTCTGAGCTGCCTTTCAGATTTATCATTCTGGGAAAGTTACCACACCTGCATGGGTTAATATTTCAGTGGATCGAGGGGCGGAAGGATTCACTCTTAATCATAGAGTGGGTCTTCCTCTCCCACCAACGATCCAAAACCATCACTAAACTACAGGAACTAATGGCTCAGCTAATTCGGAAAGCAAGGCTAAGGCTGCGTGAGTTATCAGGCTGTGATTTTACTTGCATATTTCTCCTGGTAAAACTTTCCAAGGAAGGAAAAGCATCTACTGAAAAATTAACAAAAGAGATGTTGGAACATCTCCAGAATAATGCCGAACTCCAGCTAGCTCTGGACAGGTTCAGGGGACAGATCTCTGTCCACAGCCCTTCACACAAGCTGTTCCACGAGGAGTTTAAACTCATTCCTTGGGAAAAGAGGAGCCGTAGGCCAGTCAAAGCACTCATGGTATTTACAGATGTGTTGGGGGCGTCGCACAAGTCAGTGATGACCTGGAGAGACCCACTGACTCAGCATTGGGAAGCTGACATTCAGTTTGTGGAGGGGTCCCCTCAAATCGCAGAACTGGACGCAGTGGTGAGAGCTTTCGAGAAGTTCTCAGAACCAATTAATTTGGTTACCGATTCAGCTTATGTGGCAGGGGTAGTGTCCAGAGCGGAACAGGCAGTTCTCAAGGAGATTGATAACGAACATCTCTTTCAGCTGATTTCAAGACTGATATATTTGGTATCCCACAGAGAGCACCCATTTTTATGTTATGCATGTAAGATCACACTCTGATTTGCCAGGTGAAATTGCAGAGGGGAACAGACAAGCAGACTTTCTTGCTGCCCCTGCTGAAAAAGCGCCTCTTCCAGACATTTTCCAACAGGCAAAATTGAGTCATCAGAAAGACCATCAAAATGTGCCAGGGCTGGTTCATCAGTTCCACCTCACATGGAACCAGGCTAAAGCCATTGTAAGCACATGTCCCAGTTGCCAGGTCCAGGCCATGCCATCGCTTGGTATTGGGGTTAGCCTCAAAAGCTGCGAGATATGGCAAACTGACATAACCCATGTTCCCAGTTTTGGATGCCTGAAGTGTGTACATGTAAGTGTTGACACATACTCTGGTGCAATATATGCCTTTGCCCACGTGGGAGAAAAGGCCCTGTATGTAAAACAACATTTAGTACAAGCCTTTGTGGTGCTTGGGATCCCTAGAGAAATCAAACAGACAATGGCCCAGCATACATATCCACAGAGTTCCTGGAATTTGTCAAGCAGTGGAGAGTGGAGCATAAAACAAGCATCCCCCACTCACCCACAGGCCAAGGTGTGGTTGAGCGTGCCCACAGAACATTGAAACAGGTATTAGATAAACAGAGCGATTTAACAGCTTGGATGTCCCCACAGCAGAAACTCTGTAAAGCAATGTTCACTATCAATTTCTTGAATTGTACCTTTGAGAGCTCCCCCGGTGATGCGTCATTTTAACAGAGGTGACCAATTTAAAATAACTCATCGTCCACCGGTTTTGATAAAAGACCCAGAAACCTGGGAAACTAAAGATCCCTATGAGTTAGTTACCTGGGGCCAAGGATATGCATGTGTGTCCACACCCTCAGGCCCACGTTGGGTACCCCAGAAGTGTGTAAAACCCTTTGTTTCTAAGAATCCCACTCCAGCTGAAGGGGATGAAAACCAAGTTGAAGTTGCCTCCAAGAGACGACACCGCCGAGAGGAAGAGGAGACATCCTCCTAATCTCAAGCCTCTTCCCAGCAGACTCATGAATCTTTAATATGTGCTTTAAACTGTTTGTTTTTACTTTTAGAAAAATATACCCCTCACTCAGCATCATGAGAAACCCTATCCAAGTCGTTATCCTGGTCACCCTGAATGCCTTCCCATCTGTGTGGATCATCCCACAGCCACGCCAGAACATCTGGGTGACCCTGGCACAAACACTCCAGCAAGAAAACATATGTCTATCTACTGCAGCAGCGAAAAATCCTAAGTCCACCTGCCTGGTAGGAATCCCATTGTAGCATGATGAATTTACACACAGCTTTAATACACTGACTCCTGAACCAGGTAATACATTACACAACACTCAAATAGAAGCAGAGTTAAAAAACCCCGTCAAAGAGTGGCTACCACATTTTTCTAAGGCAACCCAGGAACCCCAGGAGTTAGAGCTACAGGGTTCCTCTCCAGCATTATACTGTGAACACTTTAGGGTCAGTCCTCCAATTAATAAAGAAACCTTCCACAATATAGTACAATATCGAGAAGAATTCACAGCAAAAAGGTGGTGCCGTGTCCTAAGCTACATCAAAGTACACTCCTCAGCTCAGACACATCCTAAAAGCCTCCCCAAAGGACTGTTTCTCATTTGTGGGGATCGCGCATGGGCAGGAATTCCATCCCATCTCCTCGGAGGGCCGTGTACCATAGGGTGTCTATCACTGTTAGCACCCAATCAAACATTAGTTGGTGAATGGACCCATAAAAATAATTTGACTAGGAAAATTCAGAAGAGAACTGTTACAAATTTAGATGAGAATTGTGATTCGAAGATTTTTCATTGGTCCAAATCAAGAAGAATTGCTGCATCCATTTTCCTTCCTTGGGTGGCTGCAGCCAAGGCCCTAGGTGAATTGGGACACCTAGAATGCTGGGTGGTAAAACAAGCAAATTTAACATCTAATGCCATAAGTGCCCTTCTAGAAGATGAGGAGATTACCAGGCAGGCAACACTCCAAAATAGTGCAGTGATAGACTTTCTCCTATTGCTCCACGGGCACGAGTGCCAGGAGCTCGAGGGTCTCTGCTGCATGAATCTGATATCAAAAGCTCCTAACATCTATGCTACGCTCCAAGAGTTGAAAAGCATGATCAGACAAGTCAAGCAAGTAGCAGATGACTGGTTTGATAGACTGTTTAAAAACTGGGGACTCGTGGGGTGGTGGGCTTCAGTAGTGAAAACTATTCTGTTGCTGCTAGTCATTATTTTGCTAACGGTGTTAGTGTTCGGAGTTTTAAGCAGGATACTGTACAAAAGCATAATTAAGCTGATCTCAACTACCTCAGATGTCAACCATATA